CAATAAAGTGAAAAAAATAAATAAATAATAAATACAAATTTATAAAAAATTATAAAATGTAACATTTATGAAAAAATTATAATTAAAATGATAAAAAGGAAAAGAAAGTAAGATTAAAAAATGCTCTTTCGTATGTGTGTGCAAAAATCCTTGCACCAGCACTGGTAGTGACAGTGAAATGTATAAAAACTGTAGTGTCGAGATGTGCAAAGATTATAGAGACCTGTCCACACCGACTAAATTCTGTAATTGTTGCCAAAAGTGCACCTACGCTATGCTAACTTAGGGGATGCATATCTATGCAGTTATTTTAAAAAATGTTCCCACTGTAATAAATTTAAATTGCTTTGCAGAACGTTTAGATACACCTCAAGATGCCCATACAGCTTACAATTATCTGCAGATTTTCTGTGGTCAGATAGAAAAAGTGCAACAGATTGGCCCAGATGGAGATTACTCCACCCACACAGTTAAGTGTAGATGGAGGAATCTGTTGCACCTTTTCCATCTGACCACAGAAAATCTGCAGATAATTGTAAGGTGTATGGCCAGCTTCAGTCACTTGAAAACCTTTGATTACACACAGGTTATCTCTAAGTAATTATGTGAAATTAGCTGCACCAGAGATGATTTAGGTCTGTCCTATTAAAGTGAGTGCATACCTATGTAGTTATTTTGGGTCTTCCATTGTAATCCATTTAAATCTGAAGTTTTCAATTAAGGTGCCCATACACCTTACAACCATCGCAAGACTTTTGTCTTGCGATGGTTATAAGCTAATTAAAAGCTTGTACGATCTGCCCATCTTGGACAGGCGGGCTTCCGATGACTGCAAACGGGCAGTGTGCGCGTGCGCACACTGGCCCGTTCGGCAGTTGTCGAACAAGCAGGCCACTAACTCGACGAGAATCGTACGATTCTTGGCGGGTTTTCAAGCCTGCTTGTTCGACGGAAGACGTGCGACCGTACAGTAGAAACGGTTGCACGACTTCCATAGACTTTGCGATTATCATACAATCGCGGGATTTCTCACGATTCTCGTACGATAATCGTACAGTGTATGGGCACCTTTAGACATTGTGTGTGTATTACATCACTTCCGACCTTTAGCTGTCATTTCTCTGGCTGCTATAGCCAGAGAAGAAGCTATAGCAGCAGCAGATCTTTGCTTCATCAGCTTCTTTGGGGGTCCCTAGTTGACATTAGGGGTCTTAGAGACCCCTGATGTCTCCATAAAGAGGACCTGTCACTGTATATTATCTATCACATAGGGGGTTTGTTATCCCCCTATGTGATAGCATAAAGAGGACCCGTGTAAGTGGAAAAAAAGTTTTAAAACAAAATTAAAGACTCATGCTAAAAAATAAAAAAAAAATATATAAGTCCCCGCCCCCGTGTGCACCTACGTGCAAAAACAACGATTATGCCACATGTTACATATCACTACAAACGTGGGAGTGTGAGCAATAATTTTAGGTTCATTAATCACTAACACTAAACAGATGAACGGTAAAAGCTTTTAAAGTGTCGCCTATGGCCAATTTTAGGCATGGCAGTTTTTTTGCTATCTCGCGGGCGCACATAATTTTGAGGTTCAACATGTTTGGTGTCTATTTACCTGACGTGACCCTGTCTTTAATATTTTACCAACAAATTGAGTAATGGTAAATGTTTTGTAACATAGGTTTTTTTTCATAACTTTTGGAACCTTTTCATTATATAGTAAAAAATTGAAAACCCCAGTGGTGATTAAATAACATAAAAAGAAAGCTGTTCCTAAATTTCATTTCAGTACAGCGTTGCATGATGGAATAAATGTCAAAGTACCGCAGCGCTGAATACTGAAAAATGGCCTGGACAGCAAACGGGTTTAACAAGTGGTTAAATATAGTGGTTAAACAAGTTGTCAGCAAGTGGTTAAATATTTCATGACTCTATTGCACCTATATATGATAAATATGAATAACTCCTTCACGCATTTGTCAATGAGTCATGCTGATCTCCGATATAAATACATCATAACAAAATCCAACACAAATGGGAACAGCATACTATCTACAGCAGGGGTGCCCATAAGGTCGATCGCGTATCGATCAGTGGTAGATCGAGATGGTCTCTCCTCCCGCCCGTGGTTCTTCTCTAAGGGCCTGTTCACATGTGATCAGGTCCTGATCAGGTGCTGATCAGCAGACGTGGAGCTGCTGATGCAGTGCGTTTTTGATGTGTTTTCGGTCCGGATGCTGACAGTTAATTTTTTGTCAACGTTGATGACATCATAATAAGTGGAGCAAGAATACAATGTTTTCTTTTTTTTCCACCTTAGCTGCATTGCGTTGCGTTTCCGTTCCGTTTTCGTTGCGTTTCGTGCGTTTCCGGACCTGACAAAATGTGACATGCAGTATTTTTTCTGTCGTAAGCTGAACGGACTGCGCACGTGAGAACTGGAGCCCATAAAACACATAGGGATACATTTTGAGTGCAGCAGCGTACGGAGCCGGTCCGCACACAAAACGGACGTCGTGTGAACAGGCCCTTAGAAGAAGTGAAAGAACTGCTGCAGCCTGCGGTGGAGGACGGAGCCGCTGTCACTTAAGAAAAAAAAAATTAAATAAGAAATAATTTTAAAAAATCCTGGAGGCAGGGCACTGGGTGAGATCACACGCCTGTTTTGGGGGGGTGTCATGGTTTTTTTTTCTTGCCTCAGGCGCAAAAGGAGCTAGCTACGGCTATGCTTCAGCGGTGCTCGTGTGGCTGCCGGCTGAATGTGGCAGACGCTGCAGATGGAAAGGGGCGGGACACCTCTCCCCATGTGCAACGGCGACCACACGAGCACCGCGGGAGGACAGGACGCCGGGGCCTCTAGGACACACTGGAATGTAAGCCAGCCGACTGCCTGCGTTCAAGAGCGGGAGGGGGTTGTATTGAAGTCAATGGCACCGCAGCTATGCCTCCCCACCCACAGTGCGATCGCCCGCACCCGGAACGCAGTCACATTAGTGCCTGCATTCCGGTCCAGTGCGATCTGCAAAAATAGTGCTTGAAGCATTTTTCTGGATAGCACTGGACTGGAACGTGCCTGGGTTCCGGGTGCAGGCGATCGCACTGTGGGCACGGGTGCCTGGCTGCAGTGTCATTGACTTCAATGCACCGCCACGCCCCCTCCCACCCCTGAATGCAGGTGTTTTTTCATTGGTAGATCTCATTGAGCTCGTCATTTGAAAAGTAGATCTCCAGGCGTAAAATTGTGGGCGTCCCTGATCTACAGTACATAGTACGAAACTTTCTGCTTGGTACTACTTGGGGAAATCTTACACAATGTATCCATCCTTATAATAATAGTCCCATAATTCATGACCACAAGCAGGGACCAACTCCTTTCGAAAACTATATACAGTACTACAGTATACCATTGGGAAATCTTCCTTTAAAATATTTAAAACTGAACTTTGGGCACAAAACATGTAATTCAAATATATTCCTCAATAGCCGCAATAGATAAAAAATCCACCAAATACTTTTTCATATCCAGTTATTACATTGTAAAACTAGCAGTTACATCATCACTGTGCTGCACACAGCTAGTGCAGAGAGCAGAGCTGAGAGAACCCAGCAGGTCCACCAACTATGAACTGCCTCCAGAAAACTACAGAGGTGTATACAAGACCAGTCAAGGAGAGGGAGCAGCAGTGACTAGTCTTTTCTACAGTAAGCTCTTGCACAGAGGCAAAACTTTAATTTGGAATACTTCACGGATCCAGAAGAAATAAACAAAACACGCTAAGATTTAAGTAAGAATATACTTGCATTTACACAATATTTATTTATCCCAGAGTATGGGATAATACTCATAGAAAATGCAACCTGCTGTTTATACAATGGTACAGATAGGGAAAATGACTAGAATTAAATGATTGGTGCTTGATTGCTTGCATAAATAGCATGGCATTCAACACCATATGCTCATTCAATAAGACAGACCATGCACAACCTTGTTTATACTCATCTTGGTTCCATCACTCTGACTCAAGCCCCAGATCTCATGATGGTTAAAACCATTGTATCATAGCAGCATAAAGGGCATTTCCAAGTTTTATACTTCTCATAGCAACATTGATAACTGAAAGTTTGATGTGCTTAAGGGCTCATACCAATTGCGGTGCGTTCCAGTGCGGCAGCTGCTGGAACGCACAGTGATCGCTCACTGAACTTCCCCCTTTGTTCTGGGACGGGAGGGGTCGTGGCGGTGCATTGAAGTCAAGGCATCACAGCCACACCCCCCGTCCGCAGTGCAATCGGACACGTGGCAAAACATTGCCTGCGTTCCAGTCCACTGCCAATGCAAAAAAATAAGAGCATGCAGCATTTTTTGCATTCGCAGTGAACCGGGAAGCAGGCAATGTTTTGCCGCGCGTGCGATCGCAACACCCCCTCCCACCCCAGAAACAAGGGAGAAGTTTAGTGAGTGATTACTGTGCATTCCAGCACCTGCCGCTCTGGAACACACTGCAATTGGTGTAAATGGGCCCTGAGAGTTCAGTGAATCTTGTTTGAAATTCATCAAACCGGAACATAGTTGTAAATGCTATTAAATTTATAGGGGTGAATACCGTTTTTCAGGCTAATAGGCAAATTATTGTCAAAAAAGGGCACGGGGAACTCCGAACTGCCACAGGGGGACATATAAGAAGGCAAAATATTTTTTTTTTAAATTGCATACAGTAAGACCAGAATTTCTTCAGTAGATATTAAAGGAGATAAGGTATATGTTTGACATAAATAAAATTATTATGGTCAGGTAATAAACTGGCCAGAAAGTTTGTTTAAGAGGGTTTCCACTTTAAAATACAAAGTAACTTCTAGGTCCTTCGCATCCCAAATAGCAAGCATGTCTGGGTACACCTCGTACCCAGAAAAGTAAATCAAACCATAAACAAAATGTTTTTCCATAATATTCACACTGAAAGGTGAAATCAGAAAGTAAGCTATGGCAGCAAATTCACCTTCAAAGAATCGTAATGTTGCTGACGGATTTCTTCATACTCTTCAGTTATTTCTTCAATTAAATCATCCTTGGCTTCATCTTTCAAAAGTTGAGAACACTGAAAGAAAACATATTCAGGTCTAAAAGTAAACTAAAAACTATAAAAAAAATACCAGGTTTTGCCAATGAACCCAGTTGCTCCAAACAGAATGGACCTGAATCAACTACTTCAGTTGGTGCCTACTATAATAATGAGGTAAGTATGATAATGATAAGGTAATGGTGATAATGAGGTAAGTATCAGATTGGGTAAGGTATTAGGCTTAAATTTATGAAAACGGACAAAATAGGATTTTTGACTTACCAGTAATCAGGATCAGACCAGCATAATGTTCAGGAGTCATTTTTAACCATTCCACTTTACAAAACTGCTTTAGATGAGACACATTTGTAGGATGTCTGGTGGGAATGGCTCTCTTGAGGTAATTCAACAGCATCTCTATGGGGTTAAGGTCTGGGCTCTGACTGGGCCACTCCAGCATTTTCTTTTGCCGAAGCCAGTCTGTGGTGGATTTACTTTGATGCTTAGGGTCATTGTCCTGCTGCATTACCCAACTTCTACTAAGCTTCAGCTGGCGGACAGCCACCCAGATATTATCCAGTGGGATATTTTATTAAACTTGGGAATTCATTTTCTCCTCTATAATGGCAGCAAAAAAGCCCAAATCATCATGTTCCCTTCACCATACATCACTGTTGGGATGATGTTTTGATGTTGGTAAGCTGTGCCCTTTTTGCCCCATACATAGTGCTTCCCAAAAAGTATTCTTCCCAATCATTTTAACTTTTGTTTCATCAGTCCACAAAACATTTTCCCAGTAGTGTTGTGGTTTGCCAAGGTGTTCTTTGGCAAACTTCAGGCACGCAGCAGAGTTTTTCTTTTTTTTGAAAAGCAGAGGCTTCCTCCGGGATGTAGGGAGTCATCTTGGCGGGATTCCCACTTCTAGAAAGAGTAGCCACAGTACTAAACTCTCTCCATTTATAGACAATTTGTATAACTGTCGGCTGATGGATGCCTTAACACTTTGAAATTGCTTTGTATCCCTTTTCAGCCTTATGCAGATCAACTACTCCTGATCATATGTCTTTAGAAAACTTCTTTTTTGCGAGGCATGATTCACATCAGTTGATACTTCTTATGAACAGAAATTTTTAAATGTTTGAGTGTCTTTTATGAATCAAAGCAGCTCTAAACCACACCCCCAAACTCATTTAATTAATTGTGTGTAAGCTACTGACTCCAATTAACTTTTGTTGAAGTAATTAGTCTGTTGGTTTTACTTACTTTTTCCACCATCACTGTGAATGTTTAATGGGTGTGCTCAATAAAGACACAAGAAATTAGAATAGTTTGTGTTTTATCAGCTTAAGCACATTGAGGGGAATTTATCAAAACTGGAGCAGACAAAATCTGGAGCAGTTGCCCATGGCAACCAATGAGCTTCTATCTTCAGTTTGCTCAGTTATTTTTTAAAAAGAAAGAGAGAAGATGTTGCCGAGCAAAGCTGCTCCAGATTTGTTCTGCTTCAGTTTTGATAAATTTCCCCTACAGTTCTTCTGTGGAAGAGCCCCACCACTCTTTTGTGGTGGTAACGGGTGGTTCTGGGGTAGCGCGTAGTCAGGCCGCGGGAGGGTTGGCGGTCGGTCGGACTTAAGGTGTCGGCTGTAGCTAGTGCAAAAGAACCCTACTGTGTTGCAGGACTTCTATTCCTGGGAAGGGATTTTGCCAAGCTTGGGACTCTGTATGACAAGTTGGTTAGACACATTTATGTTGCATTATTTGTGCTGAAGATACAGTCTTTTACTTTGAGTTTTTGCTGAAGATAAGCGTATATTTGTGTTTCCCATTTTTGGCTGCCCTGCAGATCTTTTTTCAATTTTGTTATGTTGCAGCCTGATACTACAGTTTTTTAAATTATTTTTTTCCCCCCGTATTAATCTACACTCAGTACCCCATAATGACAAAGTGAAAACAGAATTTTAGAAATGTCTGTGAATTTATTAAAAAAGACTGAAATAGCACATGTACCTTACGTATTCAGACCCTTTATTCAGTACATTTGTCAGAGACCTGCTGCTTCTGCGCATGCGCCAAGCCGGGGTTCCCGTAATGGGCCTGTGCGCATGCGCGCGCCAAGGACTGTCCGAGGAAGTGACACTCTCCAAAAGGCTCACAGGAAGTGATGCTCTCCAAAAGGCTCACAGGAAGGGATGCTCTCCAAAAGGCTCACAGGAAGGGATGCTCTCCAAAAGGCTCACAGGAAGGGATGCTCTCCAAAAGGCTCACAGGAAGGGACGCTCTCCATAAGACTCACAGGAAGTGATGCTCTCCAAAAGGCTCACAGGAAGTGATGCTCTCCAAATCATTTTCTTCACTATTTAAACCCAGACTCCACACCTACTCATTGCTGGATTGTCTCGTCAACCGCCCTGATCCTTGTTTCCAGTACCATTGATTATCGACCCGGATTGACTTTGACCTTGTTTGCCTGCAGCCTGCTTTTGACCTCGGAACGTTTGACCATTCTTGTTTGCCTATACCCTTGACCTCGGATTGCTTCACTGGACTGCCTACGCCTTCTCCTTTTGTACTTGCTCTGCCTGCTCGATGTGACCTCGGCCTGTTGACCTCGGATATCAAGATTTACAAGACCCTGCCGCAAAACCAAGGAGTGGCCTGCACGGTGCAACCACCTCTGGCCCTACTGCCACTCACTGTCTATAAGGACTCTGTTCCCAATACCAGAGTCCCTAGGACATGAGCTGCAAGGGAAGCCTCCTCCTACATCCAGTCTCCGCACAGGTACGTCATAACATTGTTGAAGCACCTTTGGCAGGAATTAAAGCCTTGAGTCTTTTTGGGTATGACGTGACAAGCTTTGCACACCTGGATTGGGGGATTTTATGCCATTATTTTTTGCAAATCCTCTCAAGCTCAGTCAGGTGAGATGGGCAGCGTCAATGGACAGCCATTTTCAGGTCTCTCCAGAGATGTGCAATAGCATTCAAGTCAGGGCTCTGGCTGGGCCACTCTAGGACATTCACAGAGTTGTCCCTAAGCCACTCCTGTGTTGGATGTGTGCTTATGATCGTTGTCATGTGGGAAGGTGAACCTAGGGCCCAGTCTGAGGTGTGAGTGCTGTGGAACAGGTTTTCCTGTAGGATATCTCTGTACTTTGCTCCATTCAGCTTTTCCTCAACCCTGACCAGTCTCCCAGTCTTTGCTGCTCAAAAATACCCACACAGCATGATCCTGGCAACACCATGCTTCACTGTTGGGATGGTATTGACCAGGTGATGAGCGGTGCCTGGTTTCCTACAGACATAATGTTTAGAATTGAGGCCAAACAGTTCAATCTTGGTTTCATCAGACCAGAGAATCTTGTTCCTCACAGTCAAAGTCCTGCTGGCTCTTTTTTTAAAACTCCAAGCGGGCTTTTATGTGTTTTGCACTGAGGAGAGGCTTCCATCTATCCACTCTGCCATAAAGGCCAGATTGGTGGAGGGCTGCAGTGATGGTTGTCCTTCTGGAACTTTGTCCGATCTCCACACAGGATCTCTGGAGCTCAGCCAGTGACCATTGTGTTCTTGGTCATCACTTTTACTAAGGCCCTTCACCCCCGATTGCTCAGTTTGGCTGGGCGACCAGCTCTTGGAAGAGTCCTGGTTGTGCCAAAAACTTCTTCCATTTGAGAATAATAGAGGCCACTGTACTAGTCTTCGCTAGGTCTGTGCCTGGCAAAAATCCTGTCTGAGCTCTGCAGGCAGTTTCTTTGACATCATGGCTTTTGCTCTAAAACAATATGCATTGTCAGTTGTGAGGCATTCTATAGAGAGGTGTGTGCATTTCCAAATCATGTCCAATCAATTTAATTTACCAAAGGTGGAGTCCAATCGAGGTGTAGAAACTTCTCGGCAACGATCAAGAGAAATGGGAGGCACCTGAGCTAAATTTCAAGAGTTGTTGAAAAGGGTATGAATATTTAGGTACATGTGATATTTCAGGTTTTTTTTTATTAAATTCACAGACATTTCTAAAATTCTGTTTTCACTTTGTGATTATGGGGTACTGAGTGTAGATTGATGAGAAAAAAAAACTGTAGTATCAGGCTGCAACAGAACAAAATTTGGGCACACACCTTACAACCATCACAAGACTTTTGTCTTGCGATGGTTGTAAGGTACTTAAAAAAAACGTACCTGCCTGCATAGGCAGATCATACTTGCGATGATCGCAAGCCACGCGGGCGGGCTTCCGATGACAGCAATGCCGAACGGGCAGTGTGCGCTTGCGCACACCGGCCCGTACGGCTGTTATCGTACGGACATGCCACAAACCCGCCGAACGTCGTACGATGCTCGGCGGGTTTTCGAACATATCCGTAAGTTCAAAGTCGTGCGACCTTACAGTAGTAGAGGTCGCACAGCTTCCACACACCTTACGATAACCGTACGATCGCGGGATTTCCCGCGATTATCGTACGATTATCGTAAGGTGTGTGGGGACCTAAAGGAAAGTCCACAAATCAACCTTTATGAAGGGGTGGAGTTAAGAGGCAAGATAAAGATGTGATTAAATGGAGAATCCATCAGCATTTCTTTTTCCAAGGCAGCGATAAATATTTAAAGATTAATTAAGAAAACCAGCAGGTATTTTTATATTTTATGCCTCATGAGACTTTTATTTTCAAGGTGGTCAGTTTGAAGAGGAAGTTTAAAATAAAAGTAGTGTTGGGATAAAGTAGTAAGTATATGAGATGAATCAGAGTATTTTATGCTAATGTGCTATAAAAGCTCCTTATGCAATGTTTCACATTCAAACCACAAACTTAATTATTTCATGTCCAAAAAACTTCCTCTCAAGTGCCCGACACTTTCTCCTGGTTTTCTTCTGGGTTCTGCACATTAAGCCATTTGATTGGCTGGCCTGGGATGATGCAACGCCATGCATGGCAAAGGTACCTAATTTAACCTGGCAGATGCAAGGATTGCACACTGAGCAGAGCATGCGCTTGCCATTGCACGGGAGTTACATCATCACAGGCCAGCCAATCAAAATAGCTAAAGACACCTAACCCAAAAGAAAATCAGGAGAAAGTGTCAGCACCTGCGAGTAAGTTTGCACACATCGCATCACTGTAAGTATAGAAGGCTTTAATTCCACTTTAAATGGAAATTATTTTGGGTAAAATTTTTTTTTTTTTTAAAGTTTATAAACTTAAGATATTGTACGTCTGTTTCTGTTATTGTTTAGTATGTGTATACAAACTTTGTCATACAGATAAATATTTAATACATGACAAAAGGTCTTTCAAATCACTATGAGTTAAGCTGGCCATACACCTTACAATTTATCTGCAGATTTTCTGTGGTCAACTGGAAAAGGTGCAACAGATTCCTCCATCTACACTTAACTGTGTGGATAGATTCATCTCCACCTGGGCCAATCTGTTGCACGTTTTCCATCTGACCACATAAAATCTGCAGATAAATTGTAAGGTGTATGGGCACTTTTAGCCAGAAACAGAAGAGAACCTTTCAAAACACAGCTGTCTCAATTTTCCTTGTTTTGACTCATCCAGTTCTGTGTGTAAATTTCACCTTAATCTATCAATTTAGTGGACAACAGGCTTTTATTAACCTCTGATAGGGAGAAAAAAACAATAGAAAGGGCTAGCTGCATAAAATACCATATTCACATTCAGTGGTTCATATTTACCTTATCAAATGACAAAAACAAAGTTTAAATATGTCTTCACTCTCAACCTTAATAAATACATGTACATATCCACTATATATTACCTTCACTACAAGGCAGTTCCTGACCCCAAGCCTGTAACTGAACAATGAAGGAGCAGCACCAGACTGATGAGCTCAGTCCCTTACTCAGTCTCCATCAATCACCATGTTGCTTATCAGCACATATGCATGCAGCACATCTGATTGGCTCCTATTGCTGACCTCTATTTCAAAGTCTGAGTTCTGCTGTCTAGAGGTTGATTCCATGTCAAATTCAGGAAACCAAACTTCTTGCATTTAATTATATTTACTAGTTTGTTTAGTTACATAATACATGTTTAAGACTGCAAGGTATACATAACTGCATTGATAAGTGTATTCATGTGTGTCTTGCGTTTAGCTTTACAATAATCCAACTCACTAAAATTTAACTGTTCTGTGCTTTAAATAGTATGAAAATGTTTTACTTACAACCACAACACTTTTGGATGCATCCAAAACATGGATAACCGGTGCATTGTAAACTGGGGCTATTTTAACAGCAGTGTGGGTCCTACAAAATTAAAGAAAAACAACAATTTTACAATCCTCAAAAGTCTTACACATCTCACCAGTCACACACATAGACATCTTAGGCCCCGTTCACATTGAGCGATTTATCGCGCGGTAATTCCCACGATATACGCTCTCCAATGCTTCTCAATGGGGCAAAGGGTCCTGCTGTCGTGTGTCACTACAGCAGGACCCTTGTTGGAGCGGATATCGCGCAAAATGCAAATCGCGCGACAAACATAGCATTAGCTTTGTGTTGCATTATAAGGAATGCTTACAGCAAATACAGTATGTAGAGTACATTTTTTAAATATTCACCCGACATTTATTTTATACAATACACAGAGTCCACTCACATATACTTTCCATGAGAAAGGTCAGTATTAAAATGCTGCCCCTTCTCTCCTGCATTTTACCTTATTCTCCTTTTTTTGTGTTTGTTTTGAGGAACTACATTTGAAAAGGGTTTCCGAACATAGCATGAGTACTAATTAACATAGCATGAGTAACTTTAGGATTTTAATCTGAAATTACATACTTCGATGTGGTGGCTCCACCAATCAGTAACGGGATCTTTACTGACAATCTTTCCATCTCCTTGGCAACAAAGATCATTTCATCAAGGGAAGGCGTGATAAGGCCAGACAGACCAATTACATCTATGGAGAGAGCAGAGATCAAAAGAAATGTTCCTTAATTTTTGGTTTAATTTCTTATGTTAACTAGAAGCCCCATACAAATTTAGAATCACAAAAATAAGTGACAGGGTGAGGACAAACAACTGCCTGGTGCAAATACTGATTGTTCATTTGTGGTTCATCAGTGCCTGCTCCATGACCACTTGATAAAAAAAACAGTGATACATCATGGTACATGCAGGGTGCGTTGTAAATAATTAACAGGATGTTTGCAGTTGGTCCTCGGGTTTATCTGTTCTATCTCAATGATTTACACAGGAGATGCACACTATGAAACCTGGTGAACAACTGTATGAGACTTACACATAACGATTAGTTATAATATTTTTTAGAATTTTGTAGCTCTAGGACTCAATAATGGTGGTTGTTAGATGCCAAAAAAAAAAGTAAAAGAAGGTTTCTTAAAATGAGGCATGCATATTAAATTCGTAAAATAGGGTTGATTTACTAAAGTAGTACAGGCTGTTCATTGAGCTTAGTAAATGAGGTCAAACTGTGCAGACTTCAATCATCCTAATAAGTGCAAGCAAAAATTATTGCAAGCTGAATTTTCATGCGACTTTCCCTTTTTACTAAGCTATGTAAAATTCACTTTTCAAACTGAACACTACTCCTTATGTAAAGAGAGGATGACCCCTCTCTCCCTTTTATTTTCAATAGTGCACATCTGCATTTAGCCCTGGTGAGATCCTGCCCTAAAATCATTAGTCTGTTAGAAAAAATGTCACATGTCCCTTTAAGAAAAAGTATCGGTAATTGGCATCGGCAAGTATCTGAGGGAAAGTACTTGTACTTGGTCTTAAAAAAGTGGCATCGGGACATCCCTAGGGAGAAGTCTATTTGCTAGAATCTTTGTAAATAGCTTTAGATCTATGTATGAGAGAGATAGGGCGGTAGTTGGCACAGACGGACGCATCTTTTCCCTCTTTAGTGATCACTGTGATATGCGCTTGAAGTGTGTCGGCTGGGAATGCGTGACCCCCTAGGACAGAATTATAGGCTCATGATGAACAAGGATGCCAAGAAAGGAGCAAAACATTTGTAATATCTCGCGGTATACTCATTGGGTCCTTGAGCTTTGCCCAATTTCAGGGACTTGACCACGAATAGGAATTCTGGCTCTGGATCTGCTCTAATAATTGGGAGATCTGGGCCAATCTAGCTCATTTAAGTTCTGACCCATTTTAAATAAAACCCCCTCTAAGGGCAGATTTGTGGGCCTCCCAATCCAAAACCATCAGAGGAGAGAACTGTTGGCCTCCATTTTCCCTGAAAAGGGTTTTCAGAGCCACAGATTTCATATTGGAACAGGGTGTCCTGAAGCAGGGAGTCATTGAGTTTACAGTGCAAGGATTTGGGCGATGGATGACAAGGTAAGGGTCACTGGTGCATGATCAGAAATTGCCAGTGGCTACAGACGCAAGATGTAGTGCATCGTGAGAAATAAATCTATTTGGGAGTACGATTGGAAAAGAACGTATAGTCTTTGGTATTCGGGTGGTGAAGAAGACATTTGTCCACCAAATATTAAGAATAGAAAATCCTCTTATTAGCATGCAAAGTGAAGGACAAATGGGTCGTGGACTTAAAGGTGTCTAATGGTGAATCTAGGGCTAAATTAAGGTCTCCTCCCACAATCAACAGGCCCTCCTGGAAAGAAGCCATATCATTAATACAGTCATCCAGGAACCTACGTTGATTCTGATTTGGACAGTATATGGATGCCAGAGTGACCTTTTGGTCATTCAACTCTCCACAAAGAAAGACATAACCATGAGGATCCAATTTTTGGGCCAGCAGGCGCCATCCCACCCTTTAGAAATCAGAACACAGAACCCCATAGTTTGAGACTATGGATTAGTACTGCGATAACCCAACGGGAAGTGGAAGTTGGAAAATGTAGGGTAGTTGTCTGTTTGGAAGTGCATTTCCTGTATGAAGGTTACCGATGCCCTAAGCTGCCAGAGTTCTGCTAGGACAGCTGATCGCTTGTCAGGGGAATTTAGGCCTCGACATTGAGGGAAACAATTGTAATATAAACCATGATAAGCAGTATGATATAGGGGGTACAACAGGGCTATTGTGAAAATATGTCACCACAGACACCTGCACTAAAATATTGAAAGAGAGAAAGGAACTGAAAAAAAGAGGTTACAATAACCTAACTAGCAGTGACTAAATGTGGTCCAACTTCAAACTTTCGCAAGTTTCCATCGCCAGAAGGACCGTACCAGGGCGAAGACACCTTTTGAGGGGTACAGGGAAGGGAAGTATGTATACAGGAGTCAAAACTTGAGCAAAATAAACTATCAATCATGTGAGCACAACAGCAAAGAGAGCCCCACAATATCAGGATGCTGGGGAGTCCCAGCCCAGCAGGTAAGTATATAGAAGACAAAGAATCCCTTTTCACAACATTATGATATAGTGTATGCAAACAGTGCAAACCGAGCAGTAAAACAGACATGTAGTGCAGCCATAACTCAATAAGAAGAGTTACCAGCATCCTGCCAAAGAAACACACAGAAAGTCAAACAGTAGAATGTCCGCAAAGGAGAGAAGAATCAGCAAACAGGTGGTTGTCCACCGGCAGTAAATCACATGGGTTGAACAGATAAGGCAAGCATCAGGACAGATGGCAGATCTTTACAAAACTATCATAATAGGTTCATAGAGCACCCGTCACTGTTGTTCTATCAACAGTAAAAGTTAAAAGAAAAATCACTAAGGAAATATATAAACATTTAAATCAGATCCTGATTTACAAATAACTTAATTACACTGTATTTATATAAAATCCATATGACGAAAATCACAAAAAGAAAAAAAATATCTTGATTTTGCTAACATGATTTAATTATACAGAGAATGAGGGCTCACCAGCTTTGTTTTCAATTGCAGCTCTCAGAATCTTTTCACATGGAGTCATAACACCTAGATCAACCACCCTGGTAGAAAAGTCCAAAATTTTTTTTTAATATGCAGTGCGAAACATTTTAAACTATAAACTACAATTAATAATGTCAATCCTCCTGCATGAGCAGCAGAAGCTCATGAGCAAACAATTAGCAAAAAACAAAAAAATGGTTGATGTTCTGGAGAACATAACCATTGCAACAGGACAAAACTTAAAAAGATTACTACATGAGGATTCTAAATTGTTACCCCTAATCAATTACTTGAAAAAAGGATTTTACAGCGAACACAAAAAAAATCACATTTTCTCCCAGAGTTTATTGGGGGGACAGAATGTACAGGATTTTTTTTACATATGGGATGCCTAAAAGCAGCCCTCCCAAAAAAGAGATGCAGGCAAAAACACTAAATCAATCAACTGCAGAAGTAACTCTGTCAAAAAGAATAGTATAAATAGACCTTACTGCCGCCTGCAGGACCATAGATATGTGCACGGGGTGTATTGGGTGTGTATGGGCACACCCTAATCACCCCAAGTGCAACACCAAAACCCATTGGCTTTGCGAGACCTGCACTGATCGGCAGCCTGCTCCATCCAGTGCACTGAACACGAGTGCAGTCTTACAAGTGCCCTGTAAGCTTTCAGTTTCTCACCAGCCTGCCAACAGGCTAAATAAAGCACTCCTGTACATGTGGAAAACCTTCTGAGAATTAAAGTAAGAAAAGCTATGCTCAGCATCATTAAGTGCTTGTGAGATCTTCCCTGTGTGTATTGGAGCAGCATTTGACATATAAAAGGTTTCTATTCATCCCCCATGTGGGCCACTAAGTGACATAACATAAGGTAAAGAGTAGTGATCAATGTATATAAAGAGCTAGAGCATGGTGCAGGGCTTACAATAGTTATTTTTTTTATTCCCTGCTCAAATGTTTTGTAATCATCTGATATTAGCAATTGTCAACAGTAACAGGGGGTATTCACTTCTGAAAAGCTTCTGGTATAAGTACAGAGTGGTCAGATATTGATAAGTCTTTGTTGAAAACAGAGCGCAGCAGGGACAGGGCAGCCATCAGAAATTTTGGAGCCCCTTACACAGCTTAAGGCCTGGGCCCCTCCCCCCCCTTAGCGAGGCGCTGGACTCTCGGCTTAGCGAGGCGCTGGACTCTCGGCTTAGCGAGGCGCTGGACTCTCGGCTTAGCGAGGCGCTGGACTCTCGGCTTAGCGAGGCGCTGGACTCTCGGCTTAGCGAGGCGCTGGACTCTCGGCTTAGCGAGGCGCTGGACTCTCGGCTTAGCGAGGCGCTGGACTCTCGGCTTAGCGAGGCGCTGGACTCTCGGCTTAGCGAGGCGCTGGACTCTCGGCTTAGCGAGGCGCTGGACTCTCGGCTTAGCGAGGCGCTGGACTCTCGGCTTAGCGAGGCGCTGGACTCTCGGCTTAGCGAGGCGCTGGACTCTCGGCTTAGCGAGGCGCTGGACTCTCGGCTTAGCGAGGCGCTGGACTCTCGGCTTAGCGAGGCGCTGGACTCTCGGCTTAGCGAGGCGCTGGACTCTCGGCTTAGCGAGGCGCTGGACTCTCGGCTTAGCGAGGCGCTGGACTCTCGGCTTAGCGAGGCGCTGGACTCTCGGCTTAGCGAGGCGCTGGACTCTCGGCTTAGCGAGGCGCTGGACTCTCGGCTTAGCGAGGCGCTGGACTCTCGGCTTAGCGACGCGCTGGACTCTCGGCTTAGCGACGCGCTGGACTCTCGGCTTAGCGACGCGCTGGACTCTCGGCTTAGTGACGCGCTGGACTCTCGGCTTAGTGACGCGCTGGACTCCGGTATACACCAAGGTTTACAAAAGAGATGGCAGCGCCCACATGTTCAGGTTCTGCCATCTTGGTATGTACCAAGATATACTCCAAAATGGCGGCATGTGCAGAACATGCTGGCGGCCGATACGGCCGCCGCTCGATATGCAATTTCATCGTGCGGTTTCGGATTCGGAATCCAAAAACTGCATTAAAATTAGTTTCCTTTGACGAAAACAAATACAAAAAATCAATTTTCATTTGTTTCGTCTGAACCGAATTTTTTTGCCCACACGTCTATTACAAACCACAGCACACGATATCATCTGACTAGTATACAGCAGATACGCATAAAACATAACACAACATAAAATTAAAGATGTTATAAAATCTAAAAAAAAATATAAGAAAAGTAAACAGTAGCCCCAACAACCAACCAGATATTTACATGAACCCAATCTGCCACTATACAGGATACATTTTCTTACCAGTGCCAATAAACTTTAAAAACCAAAGAGTTATCACCAGGGGCAAATGCGGGCACCATTTTTTCAGTGGTGGGTCTGGCACCAGATCTTAGTGGGTCCCCCCAGCCTTGAGCCCTCGTGCAGCCACAGGGGCGGTAGGTCCGCTCTCCCTGTATCTACAGCCCCTCCCCCGCTACCTCTGGGCACTCGTCTGCGCCGCTGTCAGACTAGGATAGTGATGGCTAATGTTTTTGAACCCGAGTGCCCAAACTGTGACGCAAAGTCGATTTATTTATCTCAAAGTGAAAATAACTTTAGTATTGCGTTGCAGTTTGGGTCGATTGGGTTTAAAACATGTTTAGGGCTGCAGCTAACGATTATTTTCAAAATCAATTTGTTAGCTGATTATTAAGTTCGATTGATCGGATAACAACAAAAAAAGGCTGCAGTGACGGACTACTAGTTTGTATTGAGATTGTAGTCCATCACGGGAGGAAGCTTGGAGCGGTCTCAAAGAAAAAAAAAAAAAAGGCTCTTTAAGAGCATATGTCAGCAATATAAAGTGCAAATGTTCAACATTCCAAAAAGGTATTTCTCAGTGCGATATCCTTAGTGTTTCTGTGTAATCAATACGCTCACCAGACTCCGTTGACCACTAATAAATGGTCAAACTGCACTCAGATTAAAATCCTTAGCGAGCCGCTCTCCCAGGACAGCTGATGGCAACCTCCTTTGCAGTCAATATCTTTCAGTTTGCTCGCTAAGGAGTGCAGTTTGACCATTTAATAGTGGTCAAAGGAGTCTGGTGAGTATATTGATTACACAGAAACGCTAAGGATATCACACTAAAATACCTTTTTGGAATGTCGAACAATTGCACTTTATATATTGCTGACATATCCTCTTAACCACCTCCCGGCCGGCCGTTGTAAAAAAAACGGCCGGCCGGGAGCTCTCTAGATCTAAGCGGGCTTTCTTAGACGTCTGCTCAGACACGCTCCCTGGCGTGCGCGAGTGGGAAGTGCCCGATATTTAAAAACAGGCAGCGATGCTCGTTAACATACAAGCGATCCACCGGCTATAGAGCCGGCAGATCGCTTGTATGGGGTAACAATCGGTGCCCCCCCTCCGCGGCCCCCGCCGTTGTCCCGCTGGTCCAGGGCTCCGTTGTGACCGGTGCAAGCCCGGGATCAGCATGGTGCCTGTGTCACAGGGGATCAGAGGGAGATCGGTACACGAGCTCCCTCCGGTCCCCTCTCTGCTGCAAGAATGCGGAAGTGTTGTATATTACATCACTTCCGCATTCTTGTGTCACTCTCCAGCTTCAGAAGCTGGAAAGAAGCTGATGGAGCAGATCTGTGCTTCATCAGCTTCTTTTGGGGGGTCCTAGGTGACAGGGGTCTTGGAGACCCCTGATGTCTCCATAAAGAGGACCTGTTAGATATTTTGCTATTACATCGGGGGGTTTTATTAGCCCCCTATGTGATAGCAATAAAGTTTAGTGGAAAAAAAATTGGAAAAAAAAATTAAAGTCCCCCCCCAAAAAATGTAAGTTACACATAAAAAAGAATTAAAAAAAAACAAATGTTTTAAAAGTCCCCACCCATACATACACGCATGCAAACATGCGTCGGGAGCGCATACGTACAAAAACCACGATTGCGCCCATTATCACTGCGAACGTCGCAGTGAGAGCAATAATTCTAGGCCCATCAATCACTGATAACACTAAACTGATGAGCGGCAAAAGCTTTTAAAGTGTCGCCTATGGACAATTTTGGGTATGGTAGTTTTCTGTGATTTTGCAGGTGCGCGCAATTTTAAAGCTTGACATGTTTGGTGTCTATTTACCTGACGTGACCTTTTATATTTTACGAAAAAACTCGGTAATAATGTTTCCTAACATTATGTTAAAAAAAACTTTTTTTTCCCAACATTTTCAGTAATTTTTCCTAATTCCTAAAAAATAAAAACCTCCGGCTCTATAGCCGGCGGATCGCTTGTATATTAACGGGCAATGCTGCCTCTTTTCAAATAGCGGGGATTTCCCGCCCGGGCGGATGTAACAGGACGTGTATACACGCCCAGTTACATCCAAGAAGCTGCCGGCCGGCCGTGTATACACAGCGGCTGGCCGGGTTTTTTTTTTTTAGACCAATTTGTGGAGTTGCACATTTGGTCTGGATCATAACACATTGCACATGCAGTTTTGAGATTGTATTGAATTTAACTATAGGGGAGGTTGCATATTATGTTGGGGCTATCACAAGGCACTTTATTGTTTATGTATAATTATATATAAGTTGTAAGTTTTTTAGCGCAGTGACTTTGTCTTGAGATTGTAGAGAGTGACTTTAGGATTCACTTGTTTTCACTGCTGCTGACACATTGTATTGAAAGGAAACACCATAAGCGCGGATTTTACACACAATTGCAAAGCTTGGAGCGGTGCTTGGAGCTTGGAGCGATGGAAGTAAAAAAAAAAGTGTGGTGTGCAATATAGTACATTATACAGCAGTGCAATGCAGAATACCAGCAGCCTTAGAGGAATAGAACAAAGCGCAGCAATAGCACATTATACTATAATGTACTATTGCTGGGATTTGTAGTCCTCTGTAGTTGGCGTTATTTCTGCATTGCGCTGTATAATGATTATACGGCGCAATGCAGAATACCAGCAGCTATATAGGAATACAACACATGCCAGCAATAGTACATTATACTATAATGTACTATTGCTAGTACTATAATGTACTATTGCTGGGATTTGTAGTCCTTT